TTGATAAAAACAGTTTTTTTCTTACTTAATGTTATTCCATGTTTTTTAGCTTTCTGAGATAACAGAGTTAAATGTTTCAGATGTTGAGTAATGTTTTCACTAAATATTAACATATCATCTACATAAATTAAACAAAAATGAGAGAATTCAGAGAATATATTATCCATTTTTCTTTAAAATATTTGTGGGTCATTTTTAAGACCAAATGGCATAACATTCCATGCGGCGTACTAAATGTCCATGCAGCGTACTAAATGCTGTAAATTCTTTGTTATTTTGATGCATCATAATTTGCCAAAAACTATGATTTGCAATCCAATTTTGAGAACCATTTGACAGTTTTAATATGGTTTATTAATACTTTTTTGTTAGGTAAGAAGTATCCATCGAACTTTGTATTTTCATTGAGTTTTTAATAATTTATTATCATTCGAACTTTTCCTCTGAGTTGCTTGGCATAATTTCTAACTAAAAAAGCTGGACTACTATGAGGACGGACTACTATGAGGACTGGACTTTTACTTGGTTCTATTAATTTCATTTTTAGAAGTTCTTGTATTTGAGTTTGAAATTCATTTTTATCTTTTGTGGTGTATTTCATTAGTTTTACACGAATAATGAGATTAGAGTTAATTGGTTCTATAATGGCTACAGGTTCATCTTTTCCCCAAAATTCTAGAGGATTTTCTGAGAAAGATTGATTGAATAAAGATGACGCAAATTCTCGAAGTTTTATTAATTCAGGATTTGTTATTTTATATATTTTTGAATCAAGATTGAATAAATGAGGACATTTCGCTTGTATATCTTTATCTAATGGATAATCATCACCTTGACTGCGAAAGATATGAGGTGTTATATGCATTATTGGATAATGTAATAATGGGCATTGTAATTCGTCATTTGAGGGTGTTATTAGGGTGATTTTTTCGTGAGTTTGTATAAATGATGAGAATGTTTTGAAGAAATTATTTCGTAGAATTAAATCAGGGCCTTCATCTGTTAGACACCATAAATTTGTAATTTTTATAATTGCGAAGTCTATTAGGAGTAATTGATTTTCCCAAAATTCATTAATGGTTTTTAGACCATTGAAAGTTTCTAATAGAAGATTTTCTTTATGTGTTTGTATGTGTGATGGAATCATTAGTTTTTTGCATACGGTTATATCGCTACCAGTATCACATAAGGCGTGAATTGGAATAAGTTCATATGTGAGAATATATAATTCTACATTAATATAGCTATGAAATTTCATTAATTCTTTGTATAATGTTATTATTTATTTCAACATTTTCGTAGTTGAATGAAATAGTATGTTGTTGTAAAAAATTCATTCCTATTAGTATTTTTGTTGATTTTTTATCATCGAGTAAGAATAAATGTTGAAAATCAATTCTTTGATTATTAATATCCCAAAATCCAAAGAGTATGTTAGATTTGTGCGTACAAATATATTCTTGTCCTTCATAATCTTCATAATTGTAAGGACTTTGTTTTAAAATATATAAAAAAATTTTGTAATTTGATGGAATTAGATTTTTGTTAATATGTGATTTATGTGCACCAGTGTCAAGTAGAATTGTACATTTGTTATCAGGAGTAATAAAATATTCGGAGAATAATAGTTGATTATTATTATATTCTTTTGGTCGTGAAATGGTAGATTTTGTTCTTATTAAATTTTTAGAGTGATTGATTTACAGTGATCTTCTTTGTTGGATACATAATGTATTTCAATTATCAATATAATCTAATTATGGATATCTTCAACTCCCTAAACTTGAATTTTCAGCAACGTCGAGTCAGCAACGGCGAGGAAAAGATTTGAAGTGGGTGGGGTTATTTTTAGCTCATTTATTTCTTCAGGTTGAATTAAATGTCCTATATGAGAGAATAGTGGGTCTAAATGTATGGGATATTTATGGGGTTTAAAAGCTATAGTATTATGTTGATTACTATATGCATAAGCAATTTGATATGTAATGTTGTATACAACGCTTCCTTCTCTTAGCTTTATTTTATCAAATTTATGACGTAGTGTCAATGATTTGTCTAAGTGTTTATCATTAATATTTACAGCATAATTAGGATGTAGATTAAACATAAGTGTTTGATAACATAAATTACCTTGTATTACTCCTAATAAAGCGTCTTTTTTATAATAAATAATTATGTCATCATAAATCCATATTGTTATAGGACTATCTATTCCTTTTCTAAAATAAGCTTTTATTAATATTTGAATTCCTCCAAAGAAAATGTGTTTATATTTTCCAGGATTCTTTATATTTTGCAAATCTTGCTGTTTTATTTGTTGATTATATAAAGGAATGTGTGTTCTTCCTTCAGTATTAATTATATTTATAGGATGATAACCTATCGAATACTGTAATGAATACTTCTTTTCCAAATAAATATTGGCATTTCAAAGCAATGCTTAGTTCATAGAGATAATTTTCTTTTCGTTATTTTATTGTAGACTTCTTCAGATAATATGATGTCTTTCATATTCAATATTATTATCATTAATTATATCAGATTCATGATTTTCTGACATTAATCAGAATACAGGTATTCATCTATTTCCTGATCATAATAAATAATGTCTATTAGATTTTATTCAGTGTCGAATAATTCGTATAGTTTTTCGTCACTGTCTATTTCTGATAGATCAAAAATAGATCAAAAATAGGTTGGAGATTATGGAGATTAGATTGATTTATTATTGAAATAGATTTTACATTACTTAATTTAGTTTTCGAAGGGCAATTATTTGCATAATGACCTTCTTGTTTACATATCCATCATTTATTATTTTAATTTGTTTGTTTTTGTATTATTTTCTTTTCTCCTAAAGGTTCTCTTATTAGAATTATAATATTTTTTATTTGTTTTTCGGAAGAATTTTTTTTTCTTTTTTGCAGAGCACTCACAGGTGTTATGTAATGGACATCCTCATTGTTGAGGAATTAAGTTGGATTTTTCACAACATAGAGATTGTTTATATTGTTTATTTTTCTTATGCAATCAACTTGTTGACATGCTTTAGCTAATTTTTCTATGGCAAAGTGTATTCGACTTCCTAAAAAGGTATCATTATGATATATTTGTTTGAATTCTTGACTCCATAAAATATTATATGTTCTGGTAGTTTGTAGAAATACATATCTAAATATGCGTGTTTTTCTTCATATAATATATCATAGAAAATTTTTTGATAGTCACAACTATATTCATTTAAGTAGCAAATATTGCATATATTTAAAGATGTTAACTTTTGTTTGGCTTCTTGGGACGCCTTTTTTTCGTCTTTGTTCGTCTGAGAATGTTAATACTTTATATCCTAGGAATTCTCCTTTTAAATACTTTGCATATTCATTAGGCCAACTTCCAGGATTATTTGGGTCACATGTTTGTCTTATAGTATTTTTTTGTTCAGAAGATAATCCTGAAAACCATTTTTTACTTATTTCTGTTAATGTGTTTTCTATATAATTATACATGTCTTCTCCTTTTAAGTTATAATTATATATTGCTAAACTATTTTCAATTACCCATTTGTCTATGACTTCGCTTGTATTTTTACAGCAATCAATGTTTAAATAAACTCCAAACTACTAATAGGTTCTGACATATTATCAGATAGTTTTTTATCATTTTTGGATTTGTTAGTAGATCTCAGACTTGGTATTCTTTTAATACTAACACTGGGAGGTAATTGGTTAAAATAAGATGTAGTATTTATGTTAATTGGATTAGAACTAGTGCTGACTTCATTTGAGATTGGAGTATCTACAGAGGATAGTTTATTGGATTTTTCATAAATTGATATTCCGTCAAAGTATTAATTAAGTCTTTAATTTCATTTTCAGAATAAGTTGGTTCTTCAACATTGATGACTTCGTTTAATTGCATAGAACCTTGAATATTTCTTTGCATATTTGTTCAGCCTAGAATTTCAGGATTAGAATAAAATTTTTCTAAATTACAACATTCAACTAGGATGGCAGTTGTTGCTATATTGCTATTCAAAATTTGTTGATTTTGTATTATTCTTATTCCTAAATCGTAATATTAGAAGTGTTTTCATTATGAGCTAGTTTTTTGTATTTGTTTTGAATTAGATTTTTAAATAATTTATTTTTTTCCAATTGATTTTGATTTAGTTCCATAAATTAACGAGTTGTTCATTAGTTATGATTTCAGAATATAATCCTAATTCTATTTGTTGTTTTAAAATCATATAGCTTATAACAATCCATTCATTGCAATTTCCTAGAGGAGATTTAATAATGAAACATTTGTTCTTTCCTAAAGACTTCTAGTTGATTATTTTTAAAATTTATCTGTAATAAATCACAAATACGATTAAATTCGTTCTCAAGATATTAGTTATTTATCATTATTCAACATCTAACTTATTTCCTATGTCATCTATAAAATCGTTAAAATATAATTTTCTTTTCAACTTATTTTCTTCTTTAATCTGAGTTTCATAAGAAAAATCTAAATCACAAGAATATTTTTTTGTACATAAACATATTTTATGTTTAGGGCAATTATATATAATTCCTTGTTCTTTACGAAGTGCATAATATTTTTTATATTCCTGATTTATTTCTTCAAAAATTTCTCGATAATTTAAAGATGTCCCAGTTTGAGCATCAAGCTCTGATACCATTTTATTTCAAGATTTTTTGCCACTCGTTTGACGATTATAATCATTAATATTTAGATATCAGTCAAATGCCTGATGGAAATGTAGCCATACTTATGCAAGCGTGACCCTTCCATACTCAATAGGGCATCGGTAACAATACCAAGGCTGAACCCAATAGGTGGATGAGAATGTGCATAAATGAATGTGTACCACATACCTCACAATACATGGTGAGCTCCATAGTTGCGCATAATGCTACTTGACAACAAATAATTGATGATATTATATAAACCTAGAAGATGTTGATTGATCAATCGAAAATAGTAAAAGGTGGTACCTGTTCTGAGTACTCAACATCAGCAGCACCATAAGACTTGGCTATGGCCTCAATCTTCTCTTTAATGCTCAAGTCAAGAGGATAAAGAAATTTTAGTGGCTGTGTATGACTCTCGCATGCTCTCTGAACTGCAAGCCCAAGGTCAACCTAACGATTTTCAGAACTACATTGCATCAGAAAAAAGCTGAAACAAGAACCAAACTTCACTGTTGGTCTGTAGCTTATTTAAAAAATAATGGTAGTAGCCTGGAAAAAAAGGAGTCCAATTTACAATTCTCAGTGCAAATACTATAATAAAATAGCACCTTGCAATACAGAAAAATAAATCGGAATCAAAGTTAAGGCATTTTGCAAGGATTATATCAGTTGCTAGCTGTAAAATGTTTTCACAAAAATTCTTATGAATTTCAACAGTTATATCGAGTTTGAAATAGAAGTGGGCAAATACACAACAAAATTTTGTTTAGAATATAAAAGAAAAAAAAACATTAGCACATAAACAACAAAAGATAGAGTAGACAAAAATGAAATTTACTAATATATTCCTAACTGCTGAGACAACATTATTTAGCAGAACAGCAGAAAGCAGAAGTGTTTGATTATAATGTGGAAAAATTAAGCTTTTGTTATTAATGAAAGTGTGCTTACTGCTCCTTTTCCACCGTGAGCATGATGGGTGCACACAACTGCATCAAAAGAACCAGCTGCCAAAGAAGCATTTCGCACAGCATTCATCTCAGCATCAGTGTCTGCTTCAAACTTGTTGATTGCAACCACAACATTCACACCATAAAGCTTTGTGTTTGAGATATGTCTAACAAGATTTACACAACCAGCTTCTACAAGAGCTACATTCTCATTTAGGTAAGCATGATCAAGCGGCCTCCCTGCAACGACCTCTGGGCCACCGCCGTGCATTTTCAGAGCTCTAATCGTAGCAACAATAATGGCACACTGAGGCGTTAAACCACTATAACGACATTTTATGTTCATAAACTTTTCAGTGCCAATATCAGAACCAAAACCTGCTTCTGTGATCACAAACCCACCTTTACCAACCAACTTAATGGCAATCTTATCAGCAACAATCGATGAATTACCATGAGCTATATTAGCAAAAGGCCCAGCATGTACAAGAACTGGTGTTCCTTCCAGGGTTTGCATTAGCGTTGGATGAATGGCATCCTTCATCAAAACAGTCAGGGCACCACCAATCCCAAGGTCATCAGCAGTGATTGGCTCACCAGATCTGCTGTTTCCAATAACCATCCTACCAAATCTTTCCCTCATGTCTGAAAGAGAAGTCGTTAAGGCTAACACAGCCATAATCTCACTAGCCACTGATATGTCAAAGCTAGTCTCTCTTACCATTCCCTTCTCTTCGGGCCCTTGTCCGACAGTAATCTTTCTCAAAAAACGGTCATTGATATCCATAACTCTTCTCCAAGTGATAGAATCTGGGTCAATGTCTAGTCTAACAAAACTTTTAACTTCTTCAGGCGTAAGATCATCAGGGTTTGTCTTAGAAATCCCAAGTTTCCTTAAACGTCGGAACATGACATTAGCAAAACTCCGCTGGCCTTGTTTGTTGGGTGGGCAAAGCCTATTGAATAGAGCCTTGTCAGACTGTGATGCCTCATGAAAAATTCGTGCATCAATGGCAGCAGCAAGTAGATTGTTTGCAGCGGTAATGGCATGGATATCACCTGTTAGGTGAAGATTGAACTCATCCATGGGAATCACTTGGCTATAACCACCACCTGCAGCACCGCCTTTGATTCCAAAAGTTGGACCTTGAGATGGTTGACGGATGCAAGTGACAACCTACAAGACAAGCTGAACATCTAGATGAGATTTGTAAAAAACAATCGAAACTAAGAGAAGAAAAAACCACAACCATAGGATTGAATGTTTAAATAAAATAACAATTTAATAGCTAAAGTATACAATACTGACCTACAAACAGCCACACGCATACAATGGTAAGAAACACATTGAATTTAATTGACAGTTTTATCTCATAAATTCACTCAAATAATAAAAATAAAACAAAGAACATTAATAGGAAGAAAACCAAAATGTAGATCTCCAAAAAGATAAACGTATGTTAAATGAATACAGAAAACCGAAAGATCTATCAAAATAAATTCACAAGGACATGAATGTTTTATGGTGGAAAGTAATCTTCTTGAATACAAGAAAGCAAGAATTTTATCAAATTGCTCAGAGTAACAATTACAAAAGAAAACACATTTCCAGTAGAATCCCGGAGAGAAAACTGAAAAACAGAGAGTCATATTTACTAAAAATATGTTCCCACAAAATTGAACCACATTTGTCATGGAATAGAATATTCCATAAAGTTTTTGTCTGGGGACTCTGACTCTGAACTCTTGAGCAAAGAAGCACAGCCACTAACCCTCAACCAATTTAGCATAATAAACTTGATTGGCAGTAGGGAATAAATCATTAAGTATGAGACAACAGCAGGGATCAAAATTTCACAAACTTCGACATGAAAACTATATCAAAATGATATTTTTGAAGAATAAAATATTCTGCATTGTGAAGAAAAAAGCTTTATTTTGCAATCAATCATTGATCATTCATAAATAACAATTTTCGAACAATGATGGTGAAGGTATAGCCAATGAAGTATTGAGCTATGACATTATCATTAATCTCACTTGAGCACCAACCCACACATATAACAGAACATTAGATTAAAAAAAAAAAATCAAAGAACCCAATATTCACCGATAAAAAAAGCTTTCCCTTTTTTACCTTTGACTCAACATACAACAAATAGCAAGACAGCAATGCCGATAATTAAGTTTATGTTAGCTCCACTATTTTCTTATACAGATATAAATAAGCATCACCTTTGCTTTTATGCTTTCTTTGTAATTTCTCAATAGTCGAGGACTGACTGTCATTATCAAGGTAATGATGCGGCTCAGATAGTTCTTGTATTGACATACAAATAATAATCTGAGCCTTATAGAAAAGTTGAAGAAGGGAAACATGGATTGAGATTGGTTTTTCTTTGGTGTCATGGGAAACTTAATGTGAGAGAAGGATGTTTGGATGCACAACACATACAATCTCAGAGCGTTGAAGTTGCTGAAGGTGGATTTTTTCTCGCTATCTCAACGGTGTCTAGAAATCTGAAATTGTAAACATGACAAATCTTGGCTCTCTTTTTCTTCCTGTTTTCATCATTTTCTCTTAAACTTATGTGTTCTGCAACTCGGGGTAGAACAGACACTACATAAACACTAACAACCTTGAAAGGCGCAGGTACACTTCAAGCTAATCTCTTCAATCAATGTTGAAACTTACTGCATGGAAGTGACTATATAATCATATATGAATGGCAGTCCTTTTTTTTTTTTAAACCACCAATCCACTTCATATCATCTTCCTAATAAAGTGTAGCTTCACAACCAGATGCTTGATATTTTTATGAAAAAATCTAATTCCAAGTCAAATGATTCCTCCTTCATTATCACAAAAAACTTCTATTCTCTTTTGATTCAATTGCAACTCCTAAATCAAACATCTGCAACCATAGACTTGCTTGCCTCCGTGACTGCCATATACTCAGCTTCTGTTGTTGAGAGAGCGACAGAATTTTGCTGATTTGCCCAGCAACCTAGTGCAGTACCGAAAACAATGAACGCATTAATTGCAAACAATGAAACCAATAAGTGATTTCCTTGTGTCCAAATTCCTGCAAAGTCAGAGTCTACATACCTAGTCACACAACATCGGAACCTTCATTACACTATTTCCTCCAAAAACTAATCACAAATGAACTAATCCTTTCAAATGTCTAAAAATCCATTTTAAAGGCTGCCAATGCTCTCCACCTGGATTGGACAAAAATTATCAAAACAAATAGAATAAGCCCGATTAAGTACTGAGCATAACATGGATAATAGCAGAAGGTACCACACACATCTCAAACTTGTCTTCTTCACTATGGTGTATTTGATCCACAAAGAGCTTCAAGTGTTGAGCCAATGGAGTGAAAACAAGCTTAAGAGCACACTTGCCAAATGATTCCTCCTTCAATCATCCACAGTGAGATTGAGCACTTGGACGACCAATAAATCTAAATGAACAGAATCAAGAGTGCTTTTAATTAGATGATTCTAACACAAAACTTTAAATGCCTTGCGAAAAACAAATACTTTGTAAATGGTTCAATTCTCTGATCATCACCTCATAATCTTTATTTACAGAGTTAGTTCAAATCACATTTACTCACACGCCCAAGCCTTCAATGCACAATTCAACCTTATTTTAAAACCATTTCCAAAATATCTGTTTATATTAGTTCCTTTTATTGAGTAAAGTCCTTTTCTTCTAATATCTTTTATTACTACAATTGCACCTTAAGGCGTTTAAAATCCCAATTTTAGTGTTAGTTATACATTTCCATGAAACAAAATTTCAGAAAAAAATTATATTTCTTTTCAACTCAAGTGCTTACCAGACATCTTATAATACTCTTTCAATGCTGCTGAACATCCTCAATAAAATGGATCCCACCCTGAAAAGAGACTCTTCCATGCATAAGCATATCTTTGAAGTTGTCATCAACTTTTGGAAACAAAATCAAAAGTGACAAACCAATATTTTCTACATAAAGAGTGCTTTTATTAAACTCATCAATATTGTTAGTGGACATTTCATAATGGATCTTGAATTTAACATGGAGGATTCAAGGTGGGGTAGTTAGGAGCACATGCCAGACATGATAGTTAAATTAATTGGCTCAGCTTAACCCCGAAATCTTCTTTTTTTATGACTTAAGATCAAAATATGTTTGGTAGCGCCTATTGATAAGGTTTATTGCCGGATTTATGAAATTTGGTGAAACATAAAAATACGCAATTTCAATGGATTTATGAAATTCGGTATTTAAGATCCAAATTTTCCCTTCGGTTCAGCTTAAATCCAGATTTAATAAATCCAGCGAAAGAATGAATTTAACAGATCTAAGATTTAGGGATTTACTAAATTCTACCAACGCTAAATCCTGCTTGTAGCCAAACACCACAAAAATATGAGAAATAATGAGAATGCAGAGAGAGAAATTGCAAACACGCATGTCTCACTATCTGATAGAGACCACAGAAGGTAATTTGAACTTAAAGACAGTATTTCATCACCAACTTGAAAATAGTGCATTCTAAAATATAAATTTTAAAATAAGACGGCTCTAATTTTACATTGTGCCAACTGAAAAGTTTCTAAACTTGCCTTCTTATCAAGGAAAGCACCTAGAGCTTGGCAGAGCCCAACGGTTGTTGTTGATTTCCCCTCGCCGAGGGGCGTCGGAGTGATACCCCCGACTACAACGTAGTAACCATCCGCTGACCTATCAAGCTCGTCGAGGACAGAGAGAAGCACCTGATAGCATGACACATAAAATCAAGAGAAAAATATAAGACGCGATAGCTGAGGAAATACTCTTGAGCAATGAGATCACCTTGGCTTTGTATTTTCCGTAGAGATCGTAGTGCTCGGACTTGAGGCCAAGGCTTTCGGCAATCTCCGATATGAGCAGCGGCTGCACCGAGTTAGCTACGTCGATGTCCGCCGGCACCGGCGTGGTCACCTCGAGCCGCCTTATCGTCTTCGAAGAGCCCATTTCAATCTATCGATGGATATCGGCGAAAGAACGCCCTACAAACCGCTGGAGAGGAATAAAGAAGGTTTGGAAAATCTCCGGAAGTGTGAGGCCAAAGGAAAAATTATTGGATAGGACACCGCCGGCATGCAGAGATGTCCGATCTACACCTAACTGATGATATATTTTGGTGGCACTTCAAATTTTTTTTATTTTTATTTAAAAAAAAAAAATTGATTAGATCCTCATCGTAGATCGCCGTGATCTATGATATAAATCGGACACTGCATGCATCTCTGCATGCGATGTCCATATGCAATAATATTTCGAGGCGAAGAGCTGTTTGGGGAGTCTTTTTTCCGAGTAAGGAATAATTTCTCCCTTTCTACATGATACATGAGCACATGAAAAGTTTGTGCACCGCATGAAAAATGAAAATAAGATCGGGCCGATTAATATTATTCTGAATATTTTCGCGTTATTCTTATGTTATTGGTATGTTATTGATGGGTTATTCATGTCAGTGAATATTTTTCGTATTTTTAATGTGTTATTGGTGTGTTATTCATGAATAAAACCTCAAAACATGCCAATAACACATAATAACGCGAAAAATATTCAGAATAACGCGAATATTTCTATAATACGGTCAAGCCGAGTCCCGCATTTTTAATGTGTTATTGGTGTGTTATTCATGTGTTATTGTTCTGTTATTGAAGAAATATTTTTCGTGTTATTCATGTGTTCTTTGTATTATTGTTTAAAGAATAATAATATCTCAAAATCAATTCAATAACACATCAATTACAAGAAAAATATTCAGAGTAACGCGAAGGGAATATTCTTATAACAAAATCAGGTCGGGTCGCAAGTTTTCATTTTTTTTATTTTTTATAGAAGTAGGCCCCGACTTTCCACGTATCAGCTCTAGATTTGACTCTGCAAGCAACTCTGCATAAGAAGTCTTGATGTACTAATTTTTCATTGTGTTGTCCCGCGACACGGAGTTGCTTTGGAATTTGGACTGTTGTGAATGGAACCCCACAGATTTGGATTGATGCGAATTGGAAAGAAAATATAAAATAAATAAAATATATTTAAAAACACATATTATCTTTTACAAAACAAATCTCTTGTGAATCATGAAAATGATTTGAAAAAGAGGTAAGTGGAAAAGGAAGAAGAATATGATAAAAAAATTATTTAAAAAAATAGTGGAGAACATTCACAAGGTAACTTTTGTGTGGTAGCTCAAGAGCATATGTCCGAAACAAGATCGGATCGAATGAACTTGAAAGTATACCCGCGAGGAAAATGTTATGAGAGCAATTCATAACTACAAAATCAAATGTTTAAGTTTATTTTGGGTTAAGAGTAACTCCCAAAGAGTCGTATCTATTTGGTTAATTACATCTCAGAGGATGCTCAAAAATACTCTCGAGAATAGAAGTCTTGTCGATGCTCATATGATGACCAGTTGAAGGGTGTGTCAAAAGGACACGGTTATAACAAATCGTAACATCTCGGCGCTCCAAAGCCTATAATGAGCTGTGAGGGCAATGAGTGAATCTTTCATATTCTAAAAGGACATTTATTAATCAGCAACTGAGGTTTAATGAGATAACCGGGTAAATTGCAGTATCCCAAACAGGCAGTGGCTTACTAGCAAAATGAGGCATGTTAGATGACATCAACAAAATTCTAATGAAACAAATGGGCTCAATGGGTTTACTGATGAAAAGGTAAAGAAATCCTAATTAGGTGAAGATAGTTGGGTCAAGATACCATGGATATGTCATCTCAGGCTATTGCGACCCTAATTCTACCTAGTCATGAAGGTATGCGACACAACCTGACCAGAGATCACTTTGTCAGCAATCCATGAATTTTGTCGTCCAATGATACCTCGGTAGCCCTAAAGCCATAGTAACGAAACCTCTAAAACCTCTATAAACCTCTAAATCACTTTGTCAGCAATCCATGAATTTTGTCGTCCAATGATACCTCGGTAGCCCTAAAGCCATAGTAACGAAACCTCTAAAACCTCTATGACCCTCTGTGGGTGGAATTATGGAAATGGGACTTATTCCTGTGGACGTAAGTGGTGGGAGGTATCTTGAAAGGAAAGAGAGGTCCAACTTAGCAACCTGAAAACACTCTCACAAAGTTCTTACACCCGCCTAAGTCGAGGAGCTTCTAACACCTTAAGCGTATTCTAAACGACCACATAAATAAAAATTAATGCTTGGTCAGTGGGGTTAGAGAAGTGCAAGGGCTTCTCCTCGGGACATGTGAAGATGATGTAATTGCTATCTAGAATGGTCCTTAAGTGTGAAGGCCCTATTAATTTTATGGATGGAAAGTGTCAATGCATGTGACCCCATTTAAAAACCAGCCCTTAGGCCATGTAGAAAGTAAGTGCAGAGTTTGAAAATTATTTCAATTTTAATCCTAAAATTTGATTAATCTTAATCTTTTAATTATTGAGATTTTTTTTAGAAAATTTAAAATTTTAAGGTCCTTAAGCAACCTAAATTTCATTTTTTCAATAGTATCTCAGACAAACTAACACTCAAAGAAAGTGGAAAGTCAAGCACACAATGGAAAAGTAAAGAAGCTAAGTAAAAGAATAGAACAAGCCAAGTGTCGCTGGGCTGACAAGGTATACCAAAAAAAGTAAAAAAAAAGGCGGTCATGCCGCACATATACATACATAGTCCTAGGTCTCTCCATCATTATAGATTCGGACTTAAGATATGGGACACAAGTTTCTACTCCTGGTCCTCGACACATGGTTGCGCGCATCAAACACCTTAGAACCGATGCCCATACATTATTATAATACAAACATTGTCTAAGGACTCTAAAAATTACATGTATAAGTCTGAAAATAAGGCTCAACCTACAAAATAGAGTTATTAGGTTATTTACATGCATTGCAAGATAGACCATGGTCGGTATGAGTGTGGACTTAATAGCACCAGCACAAAATGCGTTTGAATAAATCATTATGGCCCCCTCCTTGTTGAACGTGGCACCCGCACGAAGATCAACCCTATATAGACTACTGAACATTAGTCACATCCAGTAAACACTCAAGGCAAGACAAAAAAATCATTGGTTAGACACAAGCCATAAAAGTTAAGCATATAAAAAGCCTAACTACACCGTAGCTCTAGTCTAGCAAATTATCTATCATAAGGTGTCATAGCAACTACATCTAAGTTTGTGCAGTGTGTTCGTGAAGGCTATGGTATGATTTTGACGAGGTCATTGACACCGGCCATGTCTTAAAGAACCAAGGGATCTAATGCTCATCCCTAGGAAATGACATTTTAAAAATGACCTCATGGTCTAATTTATACAGTTTTCAAATAAGGCAGATGATACGTAATAGAAAATTTTCTTTTTTTTGTTTTAAAATAGGACCATTAAATGTGGGTTCATAACATGTAGGTGAAGTGCTTTAGATTTCTTGAAACCTTAACAAAATCATATCAAGTGCTGATTGTGATGCAATAGATCGTATTGCTCCCTAAGATATGCTAACAAGGAGTGCTCGTAATTTCACGAAGGCCAACATTGGGTCACTCATCTACTAGAGATGGTCTAGAGATTTAGGTTGATCATGCTATGATCATGCAAAAAACAGAGTGACTTAATATAACATGGCTGCTCGAGCTAAGCGTAAGCAAACATGTTTTATATGTTAATTGATTTTGCATGAGCTAGCTGCTCTATTGAGGTACGAGTAGACACATTGTGTGCTAAAAAATGATTTAAGCATGAGTTTCATCCTAGATAGACACTCATACTGCATCACATACCCTAAGGCATGTGACTTGCTTATTTAGCATGGTCATACGCAGTAGAACGACCATGTAAGAGGGACAAGCAATGGTGTATGCATTATACACTCACTTTAGGTGAGGTGGCTGAATATGCATAGGCACGACACTATAGCAAAGTCATATGCTTGATAATTAGACTCATACTAAGCGATATTCAAGAGAGACTAATGCTAGGTGAAAAAGCTTCCTCGAATATGAAGGGCAAGCATTTGTCATGAACTCATTGTGACACATGCCCGTGGAAAATGCGCAAGATGTGCAGATTTGCAAGCAAATCACAAAAAAATATGCACAATTGATATTGAATTCGACTATGTAGGGTATGGGCCACCCCGGGGGGAATTATACTTTGCTTATATGGAAACTAAACATTCAGACAAATGACAACCACATACGATAGTTAATGCATCACTAATAAACTTTCTTATGCTAGGTACATGCCACCCTAAGGAGGGGATTAAACCTCATCCAAAAGTAATCAAATATGCATATGCAAAGGGCAAACATATGGTGTGCAATGAGGTAAGAAAACACATAAAGTGGTATTTATATGGGTTGGTTGGGATCTTCACATAGGAGATCAACCAGGACCGTGATATACCCAAATAATATACTATTTTAAGTACATATTTTACACTTATTCGTGATATTACACTTTAAAGAAGGGTATTTTCATGTTTCTGTTACAGGTATATCATTTTCGGCATTTGGAGCAAAAATAGCAAAAAAAGGACAAAATTTTGAGCCAAAATAGTGAATTTTGGAATTTTGGCACATGATGCGTGAGATTGGCGCATGATGCACCGTTTGACAGAGAGCTGGCGCATGATTTGCCAGATTTGGTGCATGATGCGCCAGAGATGACTTGTTGCGGATTAAGGCTATTCGAGATGAATTTTGCGCAAATTTTCAAAGGAACACTTGTTCTACACACCCTTTGGAGTGATTCAATGCATTTAGACACTTTAAAAGGTTCTTTTATGAAGGGATATGAGCCTTGGATCAAATGACACATCTTTTGAATTCAAAAGAGTTGACTTTTGGAGGAAAGTTTGGAGGGAATTTTGAATTCACCTTGAAAGGAGGCAGCCCTTAATAAAAGAAGAAGTCTTCCAAGACTTGAAGAGGAGTTGAAAGGGGGCGAAAAGGAGAGAAAGTGAGGGTGGCGTGAAAGACAAGGAGAGAAGAGAAGAGGAGATTTTCTTGTAGGGTTGTAAGAGGAGAAGGAATTCTTCTTCATTACACTTCTAAGAGAGAAGTGAGTGTGCTTGCAAAGAGAGAAAGTCTTGGAGAGAACTTCTAGGGATT